GCAGTACTTCTGTAGATTTAAGTGGGGGGCTGCATCAACCCAAGGCGCCGCGCCGCTAGGCTGATGGGGAATAGTTTTCGTTGCGCTTGATCAAGGAGAGCGGAGACCCGCAAACGTGAGAGGTTTGAAGCCAGATGCCAGGGCATGTCGAGTACTCACTGGCTGGGGCGACTCCTAGATTTCGTGGTGATCCCTGCTTTGGTTCTGTGAGGATTGCAGCTGAGAGGGCTAAGAAGACTCGAGTTGTTTGTGCGTAATATAATAAGCGATTACATGCACGGCTGGAAGTCGCCGGAAGCTGATTGTAGCAGCAGCTGGAACAGATCTAGCGGAGCAAGAAGAAATGGGGGAGGAATTTTATATTCTGCGTGGGGGCCTCATCAATCCTGCAGGCCGCATGTGAATTGTTTCCTCGCTGTCTAATGCTGGATGCGGATGGGGATTGTCCCGTGGGCACTCCCTGCGGTCGAAGAGTACAATGCTATCACCTTCGCTCAAACCGGCGCATCAATAACCTTTTTTTGTGTGATTTGCTGTTACTGAAGGGATAAGGATAAGAAGCAAGCAAGTGTAGTAGTGAGGCTTTCCTCTTTTGGCAGGACACGGATGATACGGCGAGCTTGCTGGTGTGGTTTCCTTCTTTCTTCCGTGGGCCAACCACTGTTGAAGCATTGCCGGGATTGTATACACCAGCATATACCAGCCTTATAGTATTGTTCCAGAAACCTGCCAGTGAAGCTGACCTACTTGAACGGGGTGGAGGACGTTTCTTCTTGCGGATTTTGTTTTATTGTTTTAGTCTTGCTTCGTTACGATCGGCGGCAGCCAGAATCGAGGCGATGGGCCACTATCCTGTTGCGAACATGTGAAGTCACCCTGTCTTGATACATTACAATTGTGGAATTCTCTGCTTCAATATATACGTGTGTAAACGTACTCAGTTGCGCGTTTGCATTTTCCATTTAGTCCAACTGTTTTTGACCGCATTCATCACCTTGCACCTGCCTCCCGGAGAAACAATGTACTTGCTTTCTGCTTCTTTGCGTGCATGAACGAGGCAGAGCCATGAGCGTGCAACGGCGCAAGCATACATGCTTTGTTTCCACATACGTTATTTTGTCTATCGGCTGGCTACTGAGGAACAAGCAAGCCTTCAGTATCCACCTACAGTTTTGGCACATGAGAAAGCTTGGGGGTAGCCATCCTTGGACGCGATTTCGCCATACAACAGAAGTTGCAACAAGGTGTTTTGCGACTCATGACGGGCCACTCCCTCTCTGGACCAGCACTCGACCGTTCTGTCGCTGTACCCAGAACGCATAGAGGGCCGGGGAGGAATCAAATAACTTCGTGGAGCCCTCAGCTTAAGTATGCTTACTCTACTGCAACAACAGTCCTCTGCTAAGATGGGGGGCTCTCGTTACGGTTGCCTTGTGATGGCGGCTGGGGTGGATGAGGTCTAACGCGGGTGGGTTGCGCGATCTATTAATTACCGCATAGGAGCAACTGCACGCATTTCAGTCGAAAATGGGGTGTGGTGACCCGTTCTGGAAGCATTGCTCCAGCAGGATTTTTGTGGGCACATACAGCACGACGCGAGCGTCTCCGTTAGTGATCTTCAAGGTTCGTCGCCCTTAGCCAAGGAATATACCTCAACGTACTCATACGCGATCCGACGGAAAAGGACAGATGGAGACAGCAATCCCACATATTGCAGTGGAGCGGCACGCCGTACGTCGGCTAGTCGCTTGGGTTCGAAATTGTGGTTCGATTTGCTTAGAATTAACCCTACACCTGAATATGACTGAAATCTGATGTTTTCTTCAGATGTGGCTATTCGCGCACTGAAACCAGTTCCAAAAGTACCTTCAAACTTCTTACTTATAGAGTAATTGCTGTGGAACTGGCCGATAACAGCGCCTTTCCTAGGCGATAGACGCTGCTAGATAGGGCTGAATTTGTACGAACAAGCTTTCAATTTGGACCCCCAGGCACAACAATCTCAGCAGCAACACAAGCCACGTTCGGGACAGGGGGCCTTGCTGTCGCCACTGCAACAGCAATGAGAGCTCTCAAAAGCCACAATAACCATGTCAAAACACTGTTGCGCACACCGTTTCAAAATTTGAAGCAGCTAAGAGCAGAAAGACTCTCCAACGCACTGGTGGACCCTGTCGGGGCTAATGGGCCAATGGTGTGGGAGCAGCGCTCTCAGGTGCCACAACGTCTGAAACTACGGCAAGAAGGCGCAACCTACGCGTCCTTTGGTTGGTGCAGTCTGTGACTGCGTTTCGAAGATGACAGATAGGAAATAAGAATTGGCAGATCTACGGACAGAGCGAGCGTATGCGAGACTTCTATGCTGGAACATTTAATCTTGGTATTCTAATTTTCTGTTTCCTCCTTGCTGCGGCACATGACAGCCGCAGCTCGAGATCAACTGCAGCGCGGCGGAGATATAGGAAATTTCCCCACCTATACGCAACGCCCCCCCCCGCACAGGCGCTGTCGCTAGAACATTCTTCCTTGACTTCCTTCTGCACACTACTTTAACTGTTGTCCCAAATAGAAGCTGATCAAGCCTCATATGAACGGAGAAAGCAGACCCATCCCTATCAAAGTGGGGGAGCACCTTCGTAGCACGAGATGAACGCTGTACCTCAGGGCTGAAGGTTTCGCTAAGGGCTCGAATAAATTTCTTTCTACTACGAGAAACTGGTACTTCTGGCTGACGGTATTGGGAACTTCTAGCTTGGACCAGTTCACAACGATGAAGTCCCCACGTCTGATGTGGGTAATTCGGTGCTGGGTGCGCGTGAAGCCTCCAGAATGTTGGGGTGTATAACAGGGGAAGCGCTGACAGAGTGCGCCCGTCAGCGCCCCCAACGGCATTTGTACCCGCTACTGTAAGACGACGGGAATCAGAATCCTAAAAGAAAAAGGAACAAGGAGGCTCGTATGTATTGCAGAGGTTCCGCAGGGGATGACGGCGAGATGCTTGTCTGTCATGGTGATCTCAGGAGGACCTCTGTTTGGAGGGATCCGATCGAGTTAACACCGGAGGTACAGCAAGTAGCTGCATTTGACAGGAAGTGTTCTCAGTTGAGTTGAGTAACAACTAGCTAGCAGCGGGCCCGTAACCTGCTGTATGCCCAATCAAAGTATACGGAAAGCGAAGATGCCATCTGCATGCAGCGGTTTGAAAGAGTTTAACTGCATTAAACCTTCCGTATCTTTTGCACTCGCTGACGCCCCGTGGTGTCCAGATGACAGATGCTGATGTGCTATGAGCTGAAGATAAGGCCATTTTCAGCTCAGAGCACTCTTTTAGCTGCGTGATACTATGTCTTCACGCGCAGACCCGCTCCACAAAACCACTTTTGCAGCTGCATAACAACATGTCTTCACGCTTAGACCCGTTCCTCAGACTACCTAAGTTCTGCATGCCTAAAATGCCTCCTTTGCTGTTCTGTAGTGAACAGCGCTCTCAGCTACCACTCCTTACCGGTCTCATGTATACCTAAGTAGGTGCACACCCGCTACACGCTACACTCAGCGCATAACCCAGAATTAAAATAACCTTAAAATATCAAAGAACAGTATCTCATGCGTATCCTTGGTCCAATCCTCCTAAAGAAGGGAAAGTAACAACGTTATCCCGAAGCTTACCCCTTGCGGATCAACGGCTCGGCTGCAGTGCTAGTCTCACGGCCAGCCCCAGACCGTGGGTAGCTGCAGAGCACTCCTCGCCTGATTGCCTTATCTCCTGTCTAATGCGGCTTGATTTATTTCTAATAATATTTTATTGTGCTCTCCCTGTCGGATAGACCTCTAGAGGCCCAATCTGAGCACCATTGTAGTGCTTGCGCACGGCAAAGGAGCTTTCTTGAGGTTAAGAACGGATCCTTGCGCCGGCAGGTTTCCTGTTTCTCAGGCGTTTTTTTCGTCCCCTACACTTCTCTTACTGTGTTTGGCTGGAGAAAACGCCTGAAAGAATCCCACAAGTTCCAGAAGCCGAAGGCCCCCCATCACGGCGCGTCGCTTCGACGTTTTAGTCCCAAAGCCTAGAGGCATATTCTGCGCTTGCAGCAGCAAAACAAGTGCCGTCATACTGCTGCAACGACAGCAAAAGGAACAACAGCTCTGCTGGAGCAGCTGCTGCTGCAAATCCCAATCGTCCGTGCATCTGTTGGATTTCAACCAGCTAGCCTCTCGACAAGCTGCACATGCACTGCAGCTGAACCGGAGCGTTCGGGTCTGGTTTTGATATACCACAGTAAGAGCTTCTTACTCATCAGGGAGCGCTGCAGGAGCTGCTCCGGGTCACAGCAGCAGGAACGACATAGGCAAGAGGAGCAGCAGAGTAACAGCTCGAGAACAACTGAGCAACAGCAGCAGCAGCAGGGAAAATGGGGTGCAGCTGGCCTTGCTGCGCCACTTGCTGTTCATTTCTGTCAGCATTTGGAGTTGTATTCCTCCTGATATTAGGATGTCTTATGCAGCAGAAGTCCCCCTCTATAGAGCTCGACACTAAAGTGATGGAAGAGCAGTACATGGCGCCGTATATCTGTGCGGGTGTACGTCCAACGCATTTGCCTACACATGTTGCTGTTGCTTCTGCTACTGCTGCTGTGGAGGTTGCTTCTGTTGCTGCATGTGTTAGTGCTTGCTTTATTGCTGCTACTGCTGCTGCCCCGGTGACTGCGGGCTTTGTCCCTGCTGCGGATCTACTTCGGGTGGTTTGCTTTGCCGTGTGTGCCTCATCTTCTGTTGCTGGTGGTGCTATTGCTGCTGCTGGCGCTGCAGGTGTATTTCGTATTTTTCGTAGTCAGCTGCGTCTATCTGTACATACACTCCAGAAGAAAGCCAGCGCCTCAGCCAGGCCTCTTTCCCCTAGGCTCGATGGCTGAGGCTGGGGAGCGGGGAGCTGCTGCTGCTTCCTTCGAAGCGCTTGGTGCTTCTGCTGCTGCTGTCGCGGAGGACTCGAGCCCGAAGCGTGCAGCAAGCAACACAAGCCCCCTTTCAGCTGGAGTTTCCCTTTCAAAGATATCTCCACGAGAAGAGGGGCAAAGTGACAAGGACGGCAAGGCATTGTAGTTGTGAGAGCAGAAGCAAACTCTGCAGCTAAAGCAGCTGCGGATGCTGCCGCTGCAAAGCCTGCACTACAACAAAGCATTGGATGCTGTTGCTGTACGGGGTGTACATGGTGGAATGCCGCATCTGATGGCTGAATCTGTTTCGTAGCAGCAGCAGCAGCAGTAGCAGCAGCAGCGCCAGCAGCACTTGCCAGCGGCACCACAAGGCAGCTTTTTTGTACATGTTGCACCACCAGCAGCAGAATCTGCTGCTGCTGCTGCATAAATATCCATATATCGTGTGTCATCAGAGCCAGTTTTCTAGTAGTCTGCATTCGGGTTTGCTTGTGCTCCCGTAGCTATTGAAGCTTGTGGCTTTTGATGCTGCTGCTTTTTCTACTGCCGCGGCTTCTGCTGCCCTTGGAATAGACATTTCTAGAAGCAGCAGGCACATATTCTTGTTGCATGCCGCAGAGTTGCCCTTTGTGGTTTCGTTGCATCGGCTCCTGCTGCTGCGGCGGCGGTCGCAGCAGCAGCAGCGGCTGCTGCAGCAGCTGAACTTCCCTTAGGCTTCACAGTGTGTCAATTCGATTTTAGGGAGGCCAACAGCAGCGGCCAGCCTGCGCAGCAGCAACACCAGATGGAGAGAGAGCGACAGCACCAGCGTCTGTGGGGCTGCAGCAGTCAGCTGCAGCTGGAACATATATCGTTTAGGTTAGACAGTGGTTGTAGTAGGGAAAGGGGCAGCAGCTGCCGCTGCATCTTCTCGCTTTAGTCTTAAGAAGGATGTCGCACTCCTCTGCTGCTTCCTGCTGCAGCCGCTGCAGCCTGCCTAGAGAGGCTTGCTGCTGCCGCAGCAGCACGCCGTATGCTGCTGCCTTGATGAGCCGCTGCTGCTCGGCCTTCCTTCGCTTGCGCTCCCATACTGCCTGAGGAAATATAGAGTGCGGCAAACCCTGCCTTGCACTTGCAGCTACCCGTTGAAGCGACGATTCAGAGCAGTAGAGTGTAGTAGCAGCAGTAACAACAGCAAGCGCAGCGGCAGCAGCGGCAGCAGCAGCAAGTGGCAGAGTGGGAAGCTAACGCATATTGCATTCAGGATTGCAGGACTTACCGCTGGCAGAAATCCTAGTAGAATCACGCCACTGTCCTCGAGCTTCTGCTGCTGCTGCTGCGGCGGTCGCTTTAGCTGCTGGTGCTGATCGATAGTGTTCCCTCTTTGTAATAGCCGGCTTTGCCTTTTCTGCTCCCGCTGTTTCATTTGTTGCTGCTGCAGGGCGCTAGTGCATCTGCGCACTGCTTCCTGCTGCAGGACCTGCTCCTGCAGTGCGTCGAGTGCTGCAGATGCCGTACATAGTTGGGTGTAAGTACACTTGGAGGCAACTCAGTTTACAGGCATGAGCGTGAATAAAGGACGCCATTGGGCTGCTGCAGCAGCAACGTAACTCTGCCGTAGCAGCAGGGAAGGTCCTTAGTCTTCATTGTCGATGCAGTAGTAGCAATTCAAGCAGCAGCAGCAGCAACAGGCGTGTTCGGTTGGCCTGTATGGAGAGACTTACTGGCGATGCGCCTGTGGATTTTCTCCACCGCTACTGCTTCAGCCTTGGCCTTCCTTGCTGTTTCCATTCGAGCTAGCCGCTGTAGCTGCTGCTGCTTCTGTTGCAGGTAGTGGAGATCTGCTGCCCGCTGCTGCTCCTCTTGTTGCATGAGGCGCAGCTGCATCAGCAGCATACGAGGACGGGTACGGCCCCCACATCTGCTGCTATTGCTGCTGCTACTGCTACCGAGTATCATCGAACTCTGTGGATACTCCTCCAAACTTTCGGTCTCTCCCTCCACCGAAGAAGGGCGGCGTCGGCTTCTGTTGCTGCTGCCTTTGCTGCTGTTGTTGCTGCCGCTTCCTAGAGAAGGAATTTCCGTGGCTTCCTTTTTATTTGTTGAGTTGCTGCACTGGCGTGACAATGCGCGGAACTCCTCCTGCTTTTCTTCTGAAGTCCCGTCTCTTGCTGCACTCTTACCCAAAGGTTTCGCTCTTTTACAAGCATGCGCTGGCTCAGCTGCACCAGCCGCAGCCGCAGCAGCAGCAGCAACGACAACAACAGGGTTGACAGTGGAGGGATCGTTTGCTGCCGCAGCAACACCTTGTGCAGCAGCAGAAGACGTTCCTATGGACTGGCCACAGGGTCGCTTGCTGCTGCTACTGCTGCTACTGCTGCTGTTGCTGCTGCTACTGCTGCTGCTGCTGTCACTTGGGTTGCGAAGTGACTGCAATGCAGCAACAGGAGGCAGCTGCGCGCTGTTCCGTCTTGGGAAAGGGGGATATGGGCGCTTGTGGAAGTCGGTGTTGCTGCTGATGCTACTGCTGCTGCTACGATGCAACGGGGCTGCTGCTGCCCTAGCTGCTGCTGCAGCTGCGGCGATGGCCTTTCTGCTCGCTGCAACTGCTCGTTTAGCTGCCTCTCTGGCGCCTTGTGCAGCGGCTGCTGCAGGCGTGCTTGGCTGCTGCCGCTGCTGTTGCTGCTGCTGTTGAATGCTGTTGCTAAGAAGCTCCTCCCACTGCAGTATGCGATGCTGCAACTGTTCTGCTGGTCCTGTTGGTGCTTCTCTTTCCGTCTTCCAGTGCTCCGTGGCTATCTCTACAGCTGCAGCAACAAGCTCCGAAGCAGCAGAGATTTGAGTCTCCACGTTTCCATCGCTGAGGCTTCCTTCCTTTTCTTCAGCGTATATTCCGTTTGCTGCAGCAGCAACACTGGCAGCTGCCGCAGCAGCAAATACCTGCTGCTGCGGAACCTCAGCAGGCAACTCTGTGGGGATAGAAGGAGGCATTGAGCATACTCCCGTTCCTCCATCTTCCGAATCATCTGTATTTGCTGCAGAGACGTGTGCTGCAGCGCGGGCAGTACCTGGTGCAGGAAAAGGAGCAGCAGCTGCTACTTCGTCTGCTGCCACCTTTCCAACTGCAGCTACATCACGAGTAGGAGCAGAGTCAGCAACACCAGCGACCAGTGCTGCCGCTGACGCTCCAGAAGCTGATATGGCATCTTCTGCTGCTGCATTTTCATCTGGTGCTGTACCTTCTGCTGGGTTTGCTGCTCCAGCTGCTGCTTCAGACGCGCTTTGCGATGTGTTTTCTGACGCTCCCTGGTACTGTCGCTGCTGCTGCTGACTAGCAGCAGGAGCAGGGTTTGTTCCGTTTTTCCTCCTGGAGGAGGCTTCCTTAGAAGAGGCCCTGCCTAGTGCAGCACAAGAGATGTCTGGAGCTGTGCTGCTGCTGCTGTTCAGTCGTTCATGCAAGAGGCGCTGCTGCTTTAGCTGCAGTAAGTGCTGCAGCTGCTTTCGCAGAGCTGCACTCCGCATACTGGACGTGCGGCGGTAGAGCAGCAGCTGAGGGAGATGCAGCCTGCTGCGCTCTGGTTTCTGCTGCTGGTGCTGCTGTGGCAGCTGCGTGCGCGCTCCCTCCCCTCCTCTCCGTGTACTAAATGTAAATGGGGGAATACGTAGAATTGCTTTTGCAAGAGAAGGCAGCTGCGCAGCATCAGAGGGTGCTGCTGGTGCGGGTATTGTATGAGTAGAAGGGGCATCTGTCTGTACACCTTGAGTGCCTTTTCTTTTTCTGCTGCTGCGGCGCAGCTGCCGACATGCCTCGGGAGACGATAGTGAGAGATGAGAGCTACCGGATTGTTGGTGGCCTTCTGCAGACTCACTTACAGTGGCGTTCTCTGCAGCAGCAAAGCTGCAGCCAGCTGCCTCTTCTTCCGCCGCTTCAAGCCGGCGGGATCTGCTGCCGCGAGGAGATGGGGCACGGCGCGACTCAGAGACAGCGTTGGGATAGACAGTTGCAGCACTAGCAGATTTCTGCTCCGTGGAAGTGCATCTGTCTGCGTCTTCATACAGAGACTCAGGCCCTCCGCCTGCTAGCCAGTCTCCCCCATGCCCTTCATTGTCCCCGCCTGCAAAGTGCTGCGCCAGGAATCGTTCTTGCTGCTGCTGCTGCACCTCCTCCTCCTCCTGCTGCGCGTGCTGCTGCTCCAGCTGCTGCTGTGAAGTAAACGAGCCAGCGGAACTAATGGACTGGACGACTGACGCCTGTGGAGAGGGGGAGTTCGATAGAGGATGCAAGTGCTGCTTCTCCTGCTGCCGCAGTATCTCCTCTTGCTCCTTCTGCAGCAGTAGTTGCTCTTGCTCCTGCTGCAGCAGTAGTTGCTCTTGCTCCTGCTGCAGCAGTAGCTGCTGCTGCTTCTCTGTTTCCCATCGCTCCTGCTGCTCCCATATTTTCTGCTGCTCTTCAGGCCACTCAAACTGTTGTTCCTCTTTGCTGCGGTGTCCCCAATCGTCTCCCCAGCTTGAGGTATGCGTCCCTGTTCCAGAGACTTCGGTGGGCTCCTGCTCGTGCTGCTGCTGCTGCTGCTGCTGCTGCTTTAGAGAGAGCACAGAGATATCCTCGGTCTCCTCATTTTCGCGTTCGTCCAGTGAGACCTTTTGCCCCATGCTGAACCCGTTGCTATGACCGCTGCTGCAGCGGTTGCGGCAGCGGCTGTGTCTCCTCAAATGCTGTTGTGGGTCCCTCGCTCGTGCTGCATGCGGCAAACCAGGCATCCTAGCGACAGCACCAGCAGCAGCAGAGTTCTCCTTCTTCCTGCTGTGCATAATGTCGCCGTATTCGTAGGATAGTGGCTGCTCTGTGTCTGTCTCCCTTCCAGCTGCGGCTTCAGGAGCAGCAGCAGCAGCACTGTCTGCTACTTCGTCGGTGGTTGGTTCAGAGAAGGTCTTGAGGGAGTCGCTGTGAGGTATTGTGTCTCTAGCTGTCTCCTCTGTTGCTGTTTCCTCTGCCTGTACCTGTCCCCTCTTGCTGTCGCGCCATGGCCTCCTTCGCCCTTTGAAATTTGCTGCATGCAGCGGGTTGGCTTCTATATGGCGGCCAGGGTCGCAGCAAGACAATCTGGAGATGTAGCAGGCACTATTTCTGTCTCTGTCTCTCTCCCCCTCCCTCTCTCTTTCTCTAACCCTGTCTGTATGTCTCTCTGGGTCTCTGTCTCTCTCCCTTTCCATTTCTCTTATATCTTTGTCTTTGTCTGGAAGTCGGTCTCTATCTCTGTGTCTCTCTCTGTTCCTGCTTCCTTTCTCTCTGTCGCTGTCGCTCTCTCCCCTGTAACGCCGCCGTCCCTTGGTAGATGCTGCTGCAAGGCCTGTGTCTCTGCCCCTAGTTGAAGTGTCTCCTTTGCATCGGTCCGCCCCTCTGTCTCTTCCTAAGCATTGAGACTCCGAGGTTTCCGAAAAAGCCTCATCTCCATATACACCGAAACCGGAAGAAAACTTACAACCTGCTGGTGCTGGTGCTGGTGCTGCTGCTGATACTCCGCCTTCCGCGTAGCTGCTATGTCTCCTGTGGTGTCTCCGCGTCTCCTCTCCGAGGGTTAAAGGACTTCGGGGCAGCCGCCGAGAAGTCGTTGATTGTTGCCGTTCTCTTTGGCTGTTTCCTACTGCTGTTGCTGCTGCTGCTGCTGCTGCCATAGGTGTTTCTCGCGAATGCCGCTTCTGCTGCTGTTGGCCCTGTTTCCAGCGGTGCCGGAGGTGCTGCTGGTGTTGCTGCTGCGGCAGCTGCTGCTGCTCCTCACTAGACAATGACTGCCCCTCCCACCATGCATCAGCCGAGCCGAACTCCTCCTGCTGCAGCTGCTGTTGTTGCTGCTGTTGCTGCTGTTGCATTTGCATAGCCTGAATGCAATCCCGCAGATACCCACGCTTACAAGTGAGACAGTGAATGGTTGAAGGGAAGAGAGGCAAGGGGGAGCAGCACCAACAGAAACAACAGCCTTTTCCTAAAGGACGGGGTCGCCCTAGCTAGGAAATACCAGCAGCAAAACGCAAACAAGGCAGACGCAGCAGCACCGGAGAGCACTGCAGACACCCAGGATGCAACGGCGTGCTTGAGGTGAACGTACAATTAACATTTTTGCTGCTGCAGCTGCTGTTGCGTCTCCTCCATCTGAAGGCAACAGCCTCATAGGGACTCCGCACAGGGTCTCCTTTAAGAAGAGTGTAGGGCCAAAAAGCTGCTGCTCCTCGTCCGCAGCAGCAGCAAACGCAGTCACCTCCCTGCTGCCAACAGCAGCGGTAGGCGATTCTCCCCCGGAAGCAGGAGCAGGAGCAGCAGCAGCACCACCAGCAACGGCAGGAGCAGCAGCAGAAAATCCGTGCGGCGTCTTGCTGCTACTGCCCACTTGCTGTTGGAGACAACCTCGTGCAACAGCTTTGGGGGCCTGCAGCTCCTGGTAGTGCTCCCCGTCCCGTTGAGCCTGTTGCTGCAGCAGCACGTTGGTGCGCTGTTCAGGCGCCGTCTGCTCAGCTTGCTGCTGCTGGTGTTGCTGCTGCTGTTGCTGCCAATTGGGGGAACTGGCTGCCGATGCTGCAGCTTTGCGTGTTAGGGGCCAAGGAGAAAAACTGTATTTGCGTTCCCGCCTTACAGACACTGTATGAACCTTTTGCAGCTCTTCATGAGGCTGGTGCTTCAGTTGCTGCTGCTGCTCGTGCTGCCGCAGCAAGTGTTGCTGCTGTTGCTCCTGTTGCTGCAGCTCCTCCAGCAACAGTTCCCTAGCAACACTCAGCTGGGGGCCATTGCGATAAGGGGAAGCGGACACTTGCAAATTCTCTGCTGCTGCTTTGGCTGCTGTGGCTGCTGCCGTTGCTGCTGCTGCCACCGCCGCCGATGCCCCTCCCTGCTGCTGCAGCTGCTGTTGAAGCTGCTGCTGCAGCTGCTGCTGCAGCTGCTGCCATGCATCGGTTCCACCAGCATCCAACGTTCTTGTCAGGGGGCCTTGGAAGTTAGCTGCGAAGAGACCCTCGGGCAGCTGGGGACGACAGAGACTGTCTGCTCTGAAGGGTATGTGAGCAGCAGCAGCAGACACGCAGGGGCTGCAAGATGCACGCTGAGGCCTCAATAGGTGAAACTGCTGTTGCTGCATTTGCTGTTGCTGCTGCTGTTGCTGCTTCTGTTGCTGATGCTGTTGCTGCTGCTGGTGCTGCTGTTGCTGCTGCTGCTGATGTTGTTGCCGTTGTTGCTTCTGTGAACGCAGAGTGAAACTCAAGGCAGCAGCTGCCACAGCCTCTGCTGCTACTGCTGCAGCCTTTTCTGCTTCGCATGCAACCGAAGAGCTGCGGCCGTTTGCGGAGCTGCTGTTGCTGCAGCTGTTGCTGCTGCTGTTGTCCTTGCTGCTGCTGCAGCTAACGCTAATATGCTGAAGGCCTCCGCTGCTGCAAGCCGGGAGACTGCTGAGTGAAGGAGACCTTCTCCTCAAGATGAGCCCTTGAACGAAATTGGGTTGTGCTGCTGTCCATTCGGGTGTATAGACACCCCGGGAGGGAAGGCAATTGTCGTTGCCGCTTCTGAGATCAGCAGAAAGTAAGGCTTTCGAGACAGATGCTCCTAATAGTGTCTGCTCCCTTGCTGCTGCTGCTGCTGCTGCTGCTGCTTCTGGAGCTGCTGCAGCTGCTGCTCCTGCTGCAGCTGCTGCTGCTTTCTGTGGGGATGGTATCCTTGTTAATTCTGGCGGACTTACGTCTTCTAGTGCAGCAGAAGGTATCAACAGCGAACTTGTGCGGCAAGCTTCAGCACCGACTGCTGCCCGCTGCATCTGCTGCTGGTGCTGCGTCTGCTGCTGCTGCTGCTGATGCCGCCACTGCAGCTGCTGTTGCTGCAACACCACATACGGCAGCCTTGAGCATTGGCAGCATTCGCCGAAGGGAAAGCCACCGCACAGATGCCAACATTGCTGATTCTGCAGATGTTGCTGCTGCCGCTGCGGCAGATGCTGCTGCAGCTGCTGCAAACGCTGCTGCTGGTGCTGCTTCGGCAAATGGTTTCTTCGGCAGCACGCTGCCATTCTAGTGCTGCAGAGAGCAGCCACTACAGTAAGCAGACGAGGTCAGGGAAGCAATAAACGTATCAAGGAAGATCGAGCAACCCCTAAACGCCTTCGCGCTGCAGTTGCTGCAGCAGCAACATCAGCAGCAGGAAAGAAGAGCCCTATGCATGCTTAAATGGAGGGTGGAAGCTTCTCTATTTCTCAGCCAGTTCCGCAAAACGTTCGCGTTGTCCCTCTGTGTACTATCTGCTCCTTCGTGTATTGCTGAACCTGATCCTGTTGAGATGAGGGGCGTACCCCTGGCGTAGCTGTACGTGCAGCAGCTAGTGCAGTGTCTGTTGCGTCTGCCGTATACAGCAGATGCTCTTCTCTAAGCGCGTTGTTAGCTGCCTGGCTTAGCTAGGTATCGCTTGCTGCTTGTCTCTCTCGTCTACTCTTGTGGTGAGGCCCGAGATCCTGTGAAGACACCGGAACATCCGTGTTATATTATTCTATATTTTGCTGTCTGTCTTTGTTTTCACGGAGAGAAAGAGAGAGAGGAGAAGACCCGCTGAAAGCTACAAACCCTCGGACTGTAGATGCAGGCTGGATTGACTGCCATCGACAAACTCATGCGGAGATCTTCTTGCGAGCCCCTTCGCCTTCCCCAAATATATGTTTTTGAAAACTATTTGCAAAAAATAAACAAGAAAAACCGCTGCAGAGCCCTAGAGCTAAACGGGGCCCTGGCAGTGGCTGTTGTTGAGCGGCCTTGGGTCTCACCCTCAGCATTCTGTTTGTGTTTGCCGCCGCTGTTAGAGCCCCCAGGGTTCCTTTTTGCAATTGAAATCAACGCAAAATAACATTTTAAATCAACTTAAAACACGCAAAAAAGTAAAGGAACGGACAAACTTCCTTTAGCCGTCTCCCCTGCTGCCCCAGCGCAGATGCGGGTCCCCCCTTCCCCACTGAGGCTTTTAGGGTTTTGCTGCGTTTTGATTGAGCCTTCATTGAATTCTTTTTCTCATAAACTAGATAAATAAGTCGTCTGAATAAAAAACCTCCTTTGGGAGCATCAGTGGGGCACGGGCTTCACGGAAGCACGGGAGGTCACTCGATCCCGACACGATCCCGATCCGGGTCCCGTCGATCCCGATTCCGTGTGTACCTGCCTCTCTGAGTGAAATCGATTGCGTAAAGTTTTCTAGCTGCAGGTTTATCCTCAACTGTATCGTAGCAGCAACTTCTTGTCATAGCTGCAGGCCTGGTGTGCAGCCAACTCACCCCGGTGTCCTCTGCGCTAATCGCTGGCAAAGGCTGCTCCAGCGCTCACCGCCAGCTAGCTATAGCTAGCTATAGCTAGCTGATTCTAGCTATTGGATTTGGCTGCAGAGAAAGCATGCTTGCCCCGAGCGCTGCAGCAAGCTGTTGCCCACAGGTGAGGCGCAGGGCATGCTGCGAACGCTGGGTATAGAGAGAACAGCAGCAACAGTAAAAAATGAAAACTTCTATAGACAAAGTTGAGAGACCACCCGTCTGAGCTCTTCCCTGCTTCTTGTCTGCCTTTGCTTGCCATGAGACAAAGAGGAAAAAGGTTCTGTCCCCAGAGCTATCTACGAATGTACGAAGAAAAAAACAGCACACGAAGTCGCAACGCTGCATGCAGATGCATGCAGTACAGCCCCAAAAGTGTAGCGGTGTCAGTGGCAGCGAGAGGGCGAAATGCATCCTCATGGAGGTCCCGCATGCATCTTTCTACAAGTACAAAGCGATAGGCAACTCAGCAAGTGCTTCGACCAGTATGTCATTGCATATATCTTGTGTAGAGGTAATGCTTCTACTAGTGCAGAAGCAGCAGCACCGGCAGCATCAGCAGTACCAGCAGCAGCAGCAGTTGTATCACTGTCCTCTTTTGAGCAGAGGTTTGCTTCCGCGGGAGGGGGCTTCTGTCTGCTGCATTGTGAATCCAAGAAGGATGTGTTATTATTCCGGGGCAAGTGTCCATTCAATCTGCTGCTGCTGCTGCTGCTGTTGCTGCTGCTGCTGAGAAATGTTCACTTGGCTACGTTGTAGAGAGAGAGCGCACTTAACCTGCGCGGCCTCTCCAGCCCCTGCAGCAGCTGTTGCAAGGCGGGCTGTCGCAACAATAGCTGCTGCTGCTGCTCCTCCCCTTTTAGTTGCTGCCACTCCAAGAAACAAATCTGCACCACCCGATAGCCTAGCAGCTGCAGCAGCCGGTGCTTCAGCGCCGTTCCCCCGTCAGACCTAAGCTCAACGAATACACTGTTGTTGTTGCAGTTGCTGCTGCTAGACCTGCGGCTATGGTTGCTGTTGCTGCTGCTGTTGCTAGAACTGAAGCTGTTGCTGCATTCGTTGCTAGTGGCAGCAAACCCTCTGCCCGGCACCTGTACCGGTGTATGCTCATACTCATTCAGGAGATCTTGGGGTGTATGCATACTCAGCAGAAAGTGTGAAGGCCCATCGACTTCAACGGCAATGCGGACGGGGAGGCAGCGAGTGCAGCGTCGGCCAACAGCAGCAGTTTGCTGCTGCTGCTGCTTGTGCTTCTGCTGCTGCTGCAGCAAGGCGATATCCAACTGCAAGCCACCTCTTACGCTGTACTCATGCAGAATACGAACTGTAGCAGGAGATATTTGTGCTGTTGCTGCTGCTGCTGCTGCTGATGAAGCGGTGGTTTGTTTTCCTGCTGCTCTGTCCGTCGCTCCTTGCTCCGTTGTACCTGTTATTGGTGTTGCAGTCCGCTGCAGCAGCCCCTCTAGCTGCCGCAGCACCTGCTGCTGCAGCAGCGAGGGCCTAACGCCGCTGTTTGTCACCTTGTAGTCACTGCCCGTGTCTCCATGTATCTGTCTCCTGCTGCGTCCCTGCAGCACCAGCTTCCTGTTGCTGTTGCGAAGCAAGGAGGAGACATTTGACTGTCGCCCAGCAGCAGCAAAGGAAAAGCCGCTACGCCGCTGCACCGCAGCCAAGGGCAGAGCAACAAAAGCTGCTGCTTGCGGAGCTCTCGCTCGCTGCAAACGCAAGAGCAGAGCGGCCTGCAGCAGCTGCCTCTTTTCTTTGCTGCTGCTGCTGCACCGAAAGCCGCAGCGATAAGAAGAAGACGCGCAGTAAGTCCTCAATAGACGGTGCTGCAGCAATCCGCAGCACGTCATGCCCCACACAGCATTAGCTATGGCTTGACTATCGGCGCACTTGTCGCTGCTGCTGCTGATGCTGCTGTTGATGCTGCTGCTGCTACTGCTGCTGCTAGGAACAAATGTTTCACGCCTAGCAGCAGACGACCCGGGACCTTCCAGAGAAGTACTTGAAAGCAACTGCTTCGCCAGACGCCTTAGGTGTATACGGAGAAGGTGCTGCTCTTCGGGAGACAGGCCAGCAGCAGCAGTAGCCGCAGCAGCAGCTACTGCTGCTGCAGCAGGAGCAGCAGTAGGAACGTGTCCAGATGAGGAAGGTGTAATCTTGAAGAGAAAGCTATTATTGCATTGGAGACGATGCTGCAGCTGCTGCGGAGACACCGCAGCTGCTGCTGCAGTGCCAAGGGCCCAAAGAAGCAGCCCAGCGTCCTGAGGAGACAGCAGCAGCGGCGTCCCTTCAACAGTCCCCCCTGCCGCTGCAGCTGCTGCCGCTTGCTGTTGCTGCTGCTGCTTCTGCTGCCTTTGCTTCCTTCGTACGACCGGAGGATTTGCACCTAAAAAGCAAAGGGCTTTCTGCAGCAGCAACTCCGACATAAAACGAACAGAGACAAAACAACGCAGCAAATGTACGAAGTCGCGCCCAGAGAAAAATAATTTCTCTCTTTTGCATGCGTCATCTGCTGCTGTTGCTGCTCCTGCAGTTGCTGTTGTTGCTGCTGCTGCCTCGGGTTTTGCTGCCACGATCGGCTGTGCAGGCACTTGCGCACCGGCCTCGAAAGCCTGCTGATGCTGCTGCTGCTGCTGCTGTAGCCAGTCGGCAGCAACAAGGCGGCTGTTCAGCGCCTTCAAGAAAGCAGCACCCGCAGCAGCAAGCTCCGATATGTTCGGGCTGCTTCGACCGAGCTTGTTTCCAGCGTGTGTGCGGCTGCTGTTGCTGTTGCTGCTGCTGTTGTTGCTGCTCCAAATCTGGCTACCCGAGAGGGCCTGCTGCACTGACCTGTTGAACAGACAGCCTGAAAGCAGCAGCTGCTCCTGCTGCAGTAACCGCGTTAGCCCAAGCAGCAAAATGCAGCTGGGGCGGAGCCACTGACGTGGGATTTGTCTTTGTTGCTGCTGCTGCAGCTGCTGGTGCTGCTGCTGCTGCAAGGCTGCCAAAGGTGCATGAGCAGCATCTCCTGCCTCGCCATGTGTCTGTACAGAGGTGTCACAAGATAGAAGGGCTGCAGCACGCAGGGAGCACCAGGAAGCTAATCGCTGCAGCGGCAGCTTGCAAGCACCACCAGCAGCAGCAGCAGCAGCAGCAGCAGCAGTTGTTTTCCCGGCCGTGAGCTGCTGTTGTTGCTGCTGCTGCTGCGCCGACTGCATAGCGCAGAGCCGCGTTGCAGCAAAGAGCAGCAAACTCAGCTCTGGCAGCTGAAGCTGTTGCATGAAGTGCTGCATCTGTTCCTGTTGTTGTTGTTGCTGCTGCTGCTGCGCTAGGAGGAAAGCAACACCCCACAAGCCATCCAATTCAGTGCATTTCATTTGCTGCGCCAGCATCAAAACAGAAGGCAGCAGCCACAGCAGCAAGGGAGAAAGGTGCCTCAGCTCCGCTACAGCAACAGCAACTGTTTCTGGTGCTGTTGCTGCTGCTCCCGCTGCTGCTGCAACTGCTTGAGGCAGTGCGCTGCGTGTTTTAGGAGAAAGAAAGCCAACATTTGCAACTGCAGCAAACTTCTGCGGCTCCTCTACTGGCGGCCTGCTGAACTTGAAGGCTGCCTGTCCGTTGTGTCCTTGATGCAGCTGCTGCTGCTGCTGCTGCTGGTTGTGGTATTGCTGGTGCAGCTGCAGTTGGTGCTGTTCCAGCGATTGCTGCACCAAACAGGTTGCAGTCTCCATGAATCTCCGGACAGACGAAAGAGCCGCTGACGCTGCTGCAGATGCTTTAAGGGGAGAGGCGGCAGCAGCAGCAACAGAGCGGTCTTCACATTTTGCTGCAGTTGCAACGTTGTCCTGCAGCTGCTCTCTGTGCCGCTGATGCTGCAGCTGCTGCTGCGCTTGGGAGAGTTCTTGTTGCAGCAACCACTGCCGCTGCCGCTGTCTGCTTCTGTAAAGCTCCTCCTTCTCTTGAGCTCGGCACCCTTGCTGCTGCAGCACCGGCAGCTGCAGCGGCAGCTGGTGCTGCTGCTGCTTAAGGAAAATAGCAGTGTGATTAAGAAGAGCAGCGAGCAGCCGCACAAAGCGTTTCAGGAGAACAGCTAACTCAATTTGCTGCTGGTATATCCAACCCACAGGATGTGTTTGTTTCTCTACCGGCTGCTGGTGTTGTTGTTGTTGCTGCTGCTGATGCTGCTGCTGCAAGTGGAGCTGCGCAGTAGCCGCTGCTTCGATGCAGTCTGCTGCAGCTTGAATGTGCTGCAGCAGCATGACGGCCGGCAGCTGCCATTCCTCCCTAGCATGCAGCAAACACTGCAGCAGGAGAACGGCAAGACGCGCGGCTTCGACATGGGCTGCTGCTGTCTGAGCTGCTGCTGCTGCAGCAGCAGCACCACCATCCGCTGCTGCAGGCCCTCCGTAGCAAGGAGCGTTTCTTAGGATTGATGCGAGCAGCTGGAGACAGTTCTGCAGCAACTGTCTTGGCTTCCCAGAGCATGCAGCATCGATGCTGCCTCCCCCAGAGCACCTGCTGCTGCCGCTGCTGCCGTTGCTGTTGCTTATGCTGCCGCTAATTATGAAGGCATGCGATGAAGTTGTGCCTTGCTGCAGGAGTTCAGCGGCAGAAGCTGCCTGCTGCCGCCTCTTCAAGTGCAGCAGCAAAGACCGCCCAGCACCAAGGCCTGCAGCAACAGCCGCAGCAGCTGCTGTCGCAGATGCTGCAGCAGATGCTGCGCAAACTGGAGCGTCTACAGCCGCTGCGGACCCTGGCAGCAGCGATTGCTGCTGTTGCTGCTGCTGCACTGCTGGTGAGGCCTCCAACAGCAGCCGCCATGCATCCTCGAGCTTCGAGTGCAAATAAGTTAAGGCATCTCTCTCCGCATCTTTCCTTATCCCAGGAGCAGCAACACCGCCTGATTCTGCTGCTGTTTGATCTCTTGCTGCTGGTACTGCTGTTGTTTCTGCTGTTGGCGTTGCTGTTGCTGCTGCTGCTGTTGATATTGCTGCGCCACTTGTTGTTAGCGTCCTAGCGACCCCCACTGCGTCGCGCAGGAGATTATGGTGCTGCAGTACTGCCTTAAATCCCTTGCTGCTGCTGCTACTGCTGCTGCTGCTGCTGTCGCTGCTGCTGCAGCTGCTGCAGCATCCAGGGCAACGAAGCCGAGCAGCAAGTGATAGATGCTGGGGAGGGAAGACGCGCCGCAGCAGCAGAGGAGGCAGCAGCAGGAAGAAGCCCATCTGGCATGCAGCTTCACGCCTTGATTTCCCGTTGCTGTTGCAACTGCTGCTGCTGTTGCTGCTGTTGCTGCTGTTGCTGCTGCTGCTCCTCTCAGCGGCAGCAAGACCATCGATTCAGCAGCGCAGGCAAGGCTTGCCAGAAGCATCTGCGGAGCATCTTCCACACTCCCTTAGGGGATATAATACCAAACGGGGCCCCCTGGGGCCCCAGGGGCCCCTTGCTGGGCTCTCCTACCTCGGGGCCTCCCCAAAGGGCCCTCTGTACCCTGGGGCCCCCCCGCCGACGACCTGCTAAGCGTGAGGCCCTTACGCATAAGCACTGCAGCTCTCTATTGTTTTCTTTATTCAGCAAGAAGGAGAATGTTTTGCGCACTTTGTTTCAAACTCTTAAGTTTTATTTCTTTTCTGTGTTGTGTATGAGGCATACGAGGGGGGGGCCCTTACGAATGGGGGCCCCCCGAAGTGTCTCCGAGCACCTCTTCGGCATGCAGGGAAACTGTTCTCGTAATATGTTATTTAGAATAAAAGATATACGTCAAGCTACAGGAGAGAGCATCTACTTAGGTAGGTAGAACGTTGTGACTTTTGCTCGGTTCGAGCTTGTTGAGGGTTTGCTCAAAAGATGCAGAGGGGCCCAAAGGGGCCCCCAGATATTCTGAGGTTGAAGAAGGGAGAACGGCGTTTGATAATTTAGCCTCGTGTAACTCAGCAGCAGCCTCCAAACAGCCCTTCTTTGTATGTCTGCTTGCTTGTTTTTTTGTTTGCTAGCTTGCGCACTTGTTTGTTAGCTTGTTGGTTTGTTTGTTTGCGTGTTGCTGCTCGCCTGTACAATTTTGCGTGTTTATTTAATTGTGGATATGCTGCGGGCTGCTGTCTACCTGTAACATGCTCTGTGTAGAGCAGGTACTTGCACTGCTTCTTGCGTACAGGCTGGCTATTGTGGGGCAAGTGAATGTTTTGCAATTGTATTCAGTGTTTGTACATACAGAAAAGGGACCCTGTTTGTTTTAGCATCTGGGGCTTCCGTGCAGCATTAGTTGCATCAATGTCCGTTGCAGCAGGCCGTGGCAGGAACTGGAGTAGAATGAATGAACATCTCAAGAAGAAAGAGAAGAACGTTCTGCAACACAGTGCATAGGCAATATCTGAAAAGCGAAAGCTGCACCCAAGCTGTCGTGATGAGCCTACAAACACCGCAGTGTTGTAACATTCGAGCCATTTAACACTCGAATATCACCCGCCAGAACTGGCTGCAATAGAAGGACAAACTCTTTGATGAAATAAAAACCAAAGAGGTTGCAGCATGCCGCCCGCCCAGTGGACGCCCAATGCACCGCCTCGAACGCATGCACGCCGAAGCGCAAAGCTATGCATGCTCCTCGGTACCGGCGATCCCCGAAATTAAATAAGGCGATCAGGCGATACGCAGAAGAGCTGCTAAGGAAAAGGCAACCAGCACGTTTGAACGCGACCTGCTGCTGTCGAAGAAACACGAAGGGAGTTGGGGCGCATGCACGTCGACTTCTAACACTTCGACGGCTGGGGATACCAGAGTTCGAGAACCTTCTTGAGTGCTTGCAGAGTTCAGCAGTCCATTCATCGTTATGAATCGCTGGTTGCTTTTCATAGACTCTGGTCCATCCAACACACAAGAGTGCGTTTCATAAATGAAAAGGAACGCCAGCAGCAGAAGCCCCCAATCACTTTCAAACCCTGACCCTTGCAGAGTCACCAGACTCCACCCAGCCTTTTAGAAATATCTCAATGGATTTCATTGTGCGGTTTTCATCGGTAAGAGGCAGCGATATAGCATTCACCTTTCTGTGAATAGACTGAGCAAATATGCTCACTTCATCACCTATTCGAATTCAGTGAACATCAGAGGGTCAATTATTCATTATTCACCTCTCTAGGAGGTCCGCAGTGTAGGTAAAGCATCACTGCAAACATCCCAGAGGCGAACAATGAATATTATTCACCTTCGGCAGAGGCTATGAAGCTTGCTAGTGAATTATGGTGCGAACCCCTGAAGCTGCACGGCAACCGTGAACGAGAAGGCTGGTGCAAGCTGGTTGCATCAACCGCACATTTATGCGGAATTTGTGACTTCGCACCAGCAAATTTCATCGAAAAGGCTTGTCCTCTTTCATGAGTGCGTTCATTAATCTGAATTGATTTGTAATCAATTCAGAAGAGATACACTCTTGGGGAAGGTGAATTTCGGGCTTCATGTTGTACACCAAAACGCCGCTGTCCAGCATTAGAACTGGCTTATGGCAGCCAGCCCCCTAAGCATGCAGCTGCCAACATGATTGTACAGATTGAAGCAGCCCAGGAATGTATGAAATAACCGCATGACGGCCAGGAAATAAATTACGACCAACACCGCTCGAAAGGTACTTCTAACCCGGCCGACCCAATATTGTGGGGCTGGTCACCCTCTTTGGGTGTTTGCTGGCCCCCAGCAGTTGAGCGCACATTTTGTCTTAACGGTGGGCATATTTTCTTGCATATGCTTAACAAGTATTTTGACGGATGCATCAAAGAACGGCGTCTAACGCCAAGAACCCGTTCGCTGAACAGTACGCAGCGGCAGCCAAAAATCGAAGCATTCCCTCTTCATACTGTTTGCCCCCTTTCTAGCCGGTAATTCTTCCTTTATCTTCGGTGTTGGGGGCGACCAGGCGCATGAGGGCGTTTGTTGTTTTGGGGAGCACGGCCGATATAGCATGGAATATGCGAAGTTTGTTCGTGTATTTCTACCTGAATGCGTGCTCTATAAAGGGCCAAGTAGGTTTTTCAGCAATTATATAACAGTGTTGGCGCCTGTAACAGAGAGGGTTTGATTGTAGCTGCACCTGGCGGTGCAGGATTAGCTGCAGCAAGTATCGTGAAGCGTAAGAGGTTGGTCCCTCTCCTCATCAGCTCCAGCCCCTTGGGCCGCTTAAGCGCAGGACACTTGTAGGCTGGAGAAGACATCGTCTGGTTTGGGGGAAATATCTTATAGCCTTTATTGCAGCTCGCGACACTCCTCGGCTTGGCTCTAGGTACCCTGCTCTAGGGGGGACCCCGCCAGCACTGGGGTTGTTCTATCTTTTATGCATTTCTTAAATGGCTTCCTGTTTAAGTCATCAATAGAAATAGCAGAGACAACTTCAAGCCAGCCAGTTGCTTTCCTTCCTTCGCGACAATTGCGAGACACACCTCGATGTCCGCTCGTAAGGGTGGCGTTGGGGGTTCCCCCCTAGAAACTATGTGAACAGGTGGAACTCATGTCTTATCTTGAGGCGTTAACAAAACTAAGCAAAAATGTAACAATTTTGCATTGAAATTGTTTATATTCTGCGGAGGAAATAGCAGAGAACCCTTGGTGAAACTCTGTATCTATCGACGAGCAAATGACCCTGTGGTGTTCCTGCTACTCAACTTACAATTCATGCAAAATTCTTTGTTTTTTAAAAATATATTTATGAAGCTAATGAAAGAAACAAAAAAGAACAGCATCAAGTGCTGCACTCGCTGCTGCCTTCAGTGGTTTCCCCCCGTCGATTCTCGCGGAGTCCATTGTGCAGACAGAGGGCTCAAGTAGAGAAACTCTGTATTTGCTTGCAAATAATGGGAAATTTGTTTGAATAAATTATTTAGTACATTTTTTTAAATTAAAGTTATTGATAACGAGAAGCGAAGAAGGTCATAAGCAGAGCTAACAGCATCCACCTCACCGCAAGGGGGCTCTCGCTTGTCTGCTTTTGCTTTTTCCCTGCCTCTTGTTGGTCAAGCTGTGGGCTTCTGAGTGTTGTTTAATGCTTTTTGAAGTATACAATTCCTTTTTTGCTTTGTTTTGCTGTATACTTTTGTAAACTGCTTAAAGCTTTGTTCATTTACTTCGAAAATGAGGCTCTGCTCCATAGGGTGCCCTCTCCTCCTGGGGGTTATTTACCTTACAGGAGCCCGTGCTGCTTCTGTGCAGGAGGCTGCAGGAGCAGCAGCAGCGAGCCAGCTGCAGCAGCAAGCTTCTGTATCAGCATCAGTTGAAGCAAATGCTAGCGCCCAGGTGCAGGCTGATAATGGCGCTGGTTCTGGGGCCGAGCCTACGCAACGCCCGATTAAGAGGTTACGTGGAGAAGACGAACAGAATGATGGGCCAAGTGCAGAAACCCGAAAGAATTACGATGAAGTGCTTGGAGAGCTACAGAAGGACCCTCGCTATCAGCGTGCAAGAGAAAGGAATGACGCGCTTGCTGAGCAAAGACGCCAACGTGTAAATGCATGGATGAAGGGTAGATCTCAACAGGGGCAAGCTCCCTCCGCAGAGGCGCAGGCAGATAAGGAGAGGCGTGCTAAATATGACAAGGTAGTGGAAGAGCTGCAGCAGGATCCGAGATTTCAACGGGCGAGGGAGCGTCTTGGGGGAGCCAGCGATGAGGGATCGAAGGCCAGCAATAAAGACACAAAGCCCCATACATTCTCAAGATAAGCAGCGATGTGGTGCTCCCTCCGCTCCGCTCTCTTGCGTTTATATGGACGGCACGCTTGAAGCGATCTGCTTGGACTGCACGGAAAGACAGATAAACAGAAGAAAACTCAAAACAGTTGAACTGGCGAAGCCTCCCACTTCTCCTCCACTCCTTGCATGCAACAGCACCAGGGAGTTTGCTTTTGCTCTTTTTCCAGTGCTTGTAGCGTGGCTGTCGCTGGACTGTCAGGTGTACGTACACCCCAACAAAAAGAATAGCAACAGCCCCACCCAGCCTTTTCATCGGCTTGCACTCAAGAGGCTCGCTAAACGCAGCGGAGGAGGAGGGGTTATCTCAGTGGAAGGAATGAAGAATAAGAGAAGAGGAGTGTGGCAATATAATAAAAGGGTGATGTTTTTGATAATAATAATGAGAGGGGAGTGGGAAGGAGTTAAGGGGCTGCTGCTGTGTTCTGCGCCATCCATCTACAAGGTGGTGGGGGCCTAGCTCTAGGGCTAGATACATTTTCTGCTGCTTCGTTTTACATTTTAGTTTTTGAACTCTAGAAGACAATTCTTGAACAATGGCAGCACTTTGCAGTTTCAGTGTAAAGGGGTTTGGGATGGGGGGTTCTTACAAGGCACCAGCCCCTTGCCGGACGCGTTCGAACCCTCATCGTTATACAACTATATCTATATATCTATAATATATATATATATATATATATTTGTAATGGGTAATTGCTATCTATAGCAAGCTACGACAAGAAGAGAGCAGTTTGCAGCGTAGTGTAGCTGTAGTGTAGGGGGTTGTGACTCTTGTCTGTGTTTTGACGTACACCGCAACAGAGACTACAGGTGATGTGGATGAATACTAAAACAACACAGAGACGAACAAACTGCACCTCTGGATGCAGGTGCTCCTCCTAAATGAGAATAGAGTATAACGGAAACATAATAGGTATCTCTCGAAACTCACTAGCAGACAATTTTTATGTATAGTGTGTACAGTACAATTTGACGCAGTGTAAGGAGAGACAGCATAATGTTTTAGTGAAGGCGTGGGAGCTGATGAACGCGTATATATATAGTATATATAATGTATAATATATATACAGATATATGTATAATACATTTATAAGTATGAATATAAAGAAGAATTCAATACAGGCAGAGTGAATGTGTGGGAGCTGCTTGAGGCCGGCGAACGCGCATATATATATATATATATATATAGTATATATAATGTATAATATATATACAGATATATATGTATAATACATATTTAAGTATGAATATAAAGGAGAATTCAATATAGGCAGTATGGCACTATGTAGCAACACAATTAGACCCAGGAGCCTCAGCATTAATACTAACTCTTGCAATGAAGCCCTTTATCCCTTTTTAACTTTAATTTCAAAAAAAGTAATGAAAATAAATTCTTCTACGCCTCCCTTCTTAGACAGCAACAATAGCCTATTAACGCAAATAGACGAGGATAGTTGTTGCTGTTGAGGAACCACTGAAAATAATTTGGAAAATAAGATTTGCCTCTTAGAGCAGAAGCTGGGGATACACCGCAGCGAACTGTTCGCTGATTGTGTATCTTTAAAGGCTAGCGCTACACTGTAGAGGTTGAAATTAAATTAAAAAGAAGCATTTTAACTCCCCCTTGCTGCAGGAATAAAAAAAAGGTGGGTGGGTGTCTAGCAAAGAAGATGTACATACAGCAGCAGCACTTGCAGCACTGGCTGCTAGCGCTGCTGCTCCCCTAACAGATAGCAAGCGAAATAAGCCCCCGCAGCAGTATACTAGAGACCCTTAGTTTAACCACCTGGGTATCTTCTGCTGCTGCAGCTGCTGCTGCAGCAACTGCAACAGCAGCACTATATTGCAGTGGGGTTGCTGCAGCGGTTGCTGCAGCAATGGCAGCACAGCGGCGGATTGTAGTGGGCCTGCTGCCGCAGCTGCTGCATAGGAGCGCAGCAGCAGCAGCTTTATGCATGCAAGTGCAGCAACAGCAGACAAATCCCAGTATGTACACCTTGGGGAAGAGCGGTACGTATTGTTTGTTGTTGTGTTTTTATAGGGTTTAGGGTTGGTTTCTTTAAAAGGATATATGGCAAACAATCAACACTCGCACTTGGTGGTTTAGGGTTTAGGGTTTAGGGTGGTTGCTTGTGAATACGAAAGGGAGATAAATATCACGTTCGCTTCATAGAAGAGGCCTTCTTGGTGCTGCTAACCGCGAGCAGCAGCGCAAGACAAGACCCCACAGCCATTGTTGCTGCTTGTGCTGCAAACCCAGCAGCAGGGAAAGCAAACGGGTGCGGAAGAGAAGCATAAGAATTACTCATGACAGCCATCAAAGTAGAGCCTACCATCTTCGCCACCAAACGAATCGAAGTAAAGCTCCCATGTACCATCCCCTCAACTCCCCCGCTGCTGCTGCTGCTGCTGCTGCTGTTGTTGTTGTTGTTGATCTTGTTGCTGCTGCTGCTGCTGCAGGGGACAACGGGAGGGCGCAGCTGCTGCTTCGAGACTTCGCTCAGCAAAGCAGGGAAGCAGCCTGAAGCACAACTGCAGCACGAAGCCAAACCGTCCACACTGCTGCTGCAGCGCAGCAGCTCGCTGCTGCTGCTGCTGCTGAAGGAGACAGAAGAACACCTCTTGGGGACAGCAGCAAATCCAAATAATCCACGTAAAACCACAACAGTGAAAGACGAAAAGTAAAACGAAAGACATATATATGTATATATATATGTATATATATATATATATATTTATATACATATACATATATATGTATATATATATATATATATGTATAGATATATACATATATACATATATGATCTAAATGAAGGCAGAAATATATGTATATATATATACACGTATATATGCATATATCCAAATATGGATGTAAACAAACATAGAAATAGATATTCATGCATGCATCGGACAGTAGTATAACCCAACATAACTCACCTCGGGAGGCGCTCGCGAGGGCACCAAACAAACACGCGACAAAAATGCAAGTAGCAGACGAGCTGTACATACACCCCAAACATATAATATATATATATATATTTGTAGAGTAGAAATATATATATTTGTAGATTACGTGCCTCCCAACACGCAGTAGCTGCTTCAAAGCAGCGCACTGTCATCAGGGTTCTTGTTGTCTTGGCCTCAGGGTTTAGGGTTTAGGGTTTAGGGTTTGCGCACGGGGGTATTATCGGTGGCTAGGGTTTGCTTCTCTGGCGGGCATTCATCTTATTTGCTACACACCTTAGGGTTTGCATGCAGGGTTTAGGGGTTAGGGTGTGCATGCAGGGTTTAGGGTTTGGATGCAGAGTTTAGGGTTTGCATGCAGGGTTTAGGGTTTAGGGTTTCTGCGGCTCACCCCACAACAAAAAGGCCAGCGTACACCACATTGCATGCGCTACAGATGAACAGCAGCCACTGCGTTGAGATAAGATGCAGCACTATTGGCAGCAAAACCACCTGCAGCAGCAGCAGCAGCAACAGCAGTAGCAGCAACAGCAGCAGCAGCAACAGCAGCAGCAGCACCATGTGCTCCATGGCGAAGCAGCCGTACCGCTAGTAGCCTTATATCACTGCTATCTGTCCTTCTGAGGTTTGGGGAGGTTGCATTAGCTGTTGATGCTGCTGCCGTTGCTGGTGCTGCTGTTGCTGCTGTTGCTGCTGCTGCTGCTGCTGCTGTTGCTGCTGACTGGGAAGTAATTCTTTTGGCTGTACCTGCACAAAGATGCCTGCTGCTCCAAACGTTGTCATGATAAACGAGACCTGCAGCACCAGCAGCAGCAGCAACAGCAGCAGCAACAGCAGCAGCAGCAGTAGCAGCGATGGAGACACCTAACCTCCACCAAGCAAATGAAGACTCATCCTTCTGCATTATCTTCCAGTCGGGCGGCTAGCTAAACAGCTAGCAGTTAGCTAGCCTATCAACGGGCTAAGTTCGCACCTAGCTACCCAGCTAGCTACCTAGCTAGGCAGGTAGCTTGTTGCGTAGCCAGCTGTGTAGCTAGCTTCTGATGTAGTTGAGTATAATTTAGCAGGGCGATCAGCTAGCTGGTTAGCTAGCCGGCTAGCTAGCTAGCTAACCCGTGCAGCAGCAGCTCGAGCTTTCAGACACACAGCGACAGAGGCAGAGATAATACAGCTGAAGGAGAGGGAGAGAGAGAGGAAAAGAGAGACAGATAAAATGCAGCGACAGGAGACAGAGACAAAACGAAGGAGACAGAGTGAAGGAGACGGAGACAAACTGAAGGAGACACAAACAAACTGAAGGAGACTGAGTGAAGGAGACAAAGCGAAGGAGACAGAGTAAAGGAGACAGAGATGCAGCTAGAGGAGGCGGACAGCAGACAAGGAGACAGAGTGAAGGAGACAGCGATGCAGCTGGAGGAGACAGACAGCAGACAGAGACACAGCGAAGGAGACAGAGTGAAGGAGACAGAGACAAACTGAAGGAGACAGAGATGCAGCTAGAGGAGACAGACAGCAGAGACAGACGAAACGAAGGAGACAGAGTGAAGGAGACGGAGACAAACTGAAGGAGACAGAGATGCAGCTAGAGGAGACAGACAGCAGACTGACCTGATCGTGAGAAAACCCCAGCTGGTGTTTGACGAAGGACAGTGAAGTTCCTTGCATAGCAGCATTGAAGGCGCAGTGCATGCAAGCGAGCAGCAGCACCAGAGGCTGCTGCTGCAGCAGCAAACCAAACACCCCCCAAAGCATGCAGAGATGCTTTACTAGGGCCCGCAGCAGCTTCTTAACACCTGAAGCCACCTGCTGCAGCTGTATGCTTCCAGTCCTTCGCCTCCCAGGAGGAGGACTATCAGCAGCAGCAGCTGAAGCAGCAGCAGCAGCAGCAACGACAACTGCGTCTTCAGCAACAGAATGCAAAAGAGGAAGAGCTTCAGCCCCCCTATTCCAAATCTTTGAGGTGTCCATACAGCTGAAATTCATATCCGGGAGGGACGCGCAAAAGCGGAGACGCTGCACTGCAGCAGCAGCAGGAGGAGCAGCAGCAGCACCATCACAACCTCCAGCAGCAGCAGCAGAAGCAGCAGCACCAGAAGCAGCAGCAGCAGCAGTAGGGGTGCGGCTGCCGCTGCCTGCAGAAAAGCTTGTTGCTCGTCTCACAGACAAAACAGAAAAACCGTCAGCAGGCCACAAGGTGGGTGGATAGAATTCCTCAAGAAACTCCTGCTGCTGCTGGTGCTGCTGCTCCTGCTGCTGCTGGTGCTGCTGCTCCTGCTGCTGCTTCTGCTGCTGCTGCTCCTGCTGCGTCAGGCGGCCCCTGATGGGGCTCAGCAGCAGCGCTAAAGGATGCAGCAGCCGCAGCAAAGCTGCTACTAGCATCAGCTTCTCTGGTGATTGAAATGTACGCAAAAACAAACCCCCAGCCAAACTCCCTGCATGCACAACAGCAGCAGCAGCAGCAGCAGCAAGGGCAGTTAGGAAAAAAGGAGCAGCACGCACAGTCCCGGGCCATGGAAGCAGAACCCACGACTAGCAGCAGCAGCAGCAGCAGCAGCAGCACCAACGCAGAAGCAGCCGCAACTTCCGCAACGAGTGTAGCATCAAGAGAAATAGCAGCAGGAGCAGCGAGATAAACAGCAGCAGCAACAACTGCAGCAGCAAACCTGCTTCAGCATACGCACCGAGAAGCAGAGAGCCGCTCACAGCAGCATATATCGACGAAAAACTGCAGCAAGCAGCAAACAGCAGCAGCAGAAAAAGCGGCAGTTGCTGCTACCACTGCAGCAACAGCAGCAGTAGCAACAGCAGCAGCAGCAGCAGCAGCAGCAACAGCAGCAGCAGCAGCAGCAGCAGCAGCCGCAACTGCAGCAGCACCGATAGTAGTAACACGAACCCTTTGTTGCTTACCAGGTGACTCTCCGCTTTATGTCCGCCCATTCTGCATCCACAGCACCCAATAAACCCTAAACCCTAAACCCTTAACTCTAAACCCTAAACCCTTGCAAGCCAAGGCCAAACTGCATTCAACAGCAGCAGTATGAGCAGCAGAAACTGCAGCAGTAAGAGCAGCAGCAAGGGCAGCAGCAGCAGCAGCAGCAGCAGCAGCAGCAGCAGCAGCAGCAGCAGGGTTTTCCGCACCACCAATCCATGATGAGAGGACCTGCAGCAGCACAAGCCGCACATGTAAACCCTAAACCCTAAACCCTAAAGCCTAAGTTGTCAGAGCCGTGGTTCCGGCCGTAGCCTTCTATCTTTACAGTCCACATCAGGGTTTAGGGTTTAGGGTTTAGAGACTAACGACAAAAGAACCTGTCAGAGGCTTTCCCCCAAGCAAAGCAGCCACCACCCTGTAGAGCCGCAGCAGCAGCACAAGCAGCAGCAGCACAAGCAGCAGCAGCAGCAGCCATAACAACGTCGGCACTTGTGTGTACTGCAGCAGCCGCAGCATACGCTGTAGCTAAGATTGCTGCTCTCTTTGCTCTTGCTGCTGCTAGCGTTGGTTTTCGTTGCTGCTGTTGTTGCTTGTGCTGTTGCTGCTGCTGCTGCTGCTTGTGCAGTCGTTGCTGCTGCTGTTATTTGTACTATTGCTGCAGCAGCTACAGCAGCAGCAGCAAGGTATATGCTTACTTGCAAGCCAAGTAGGCCCTAGCGCTTCGAGTGACGACAGCAGCAACGACTGGAAGGCTGCTGCAGAAGGACAGCAGCAGCAGCAAGCGGTGTCTTAGCGCCGGTTGTGCAGCAGCAATGCGAGAGACAGCAGCACAAGAAAGGAGACAGAAAAAAGAAGCAAACACCTCCTGCCCCGCCTGCCACAGATAGACGCGGCCCCCCAACTGTGATGTTAATAAATCCACGCTCGCCCCTATGCTGCAGCACACAAGCAGCAGCAGCAGCAGCAGCAGCAGCAAATGCAGCAACAGCAGCAGCAGCATTAACGGCAGCAATAACTGCAGCATGCAGTGGAGAAGGAAAGGAGACAAACAGATAAAGACCCATGCATTTTTGAATCCAGAAGCAGCAGGAGGTGCAGCAAAAGCAGCAGCAGCAGCAGCAGCAGCAGCAACAGCAACAGCAGCAGCATCGGTAAAAGAGCAGCAGCAAATTCACACGGACCTAAGGTGAGCAGGAAAGACCTCCAAGACCGTCAGCAAGACAGCCCATCTTGCAGGACAACCCGAGTGCTGCTGCTGCTGCTGCTGCTGCAGTTGCTGCTTGTGCTGCTGCTGCAGTTGCTGCTGCTCGTGCTGTTGCTGCTGCTGCAGCAAACGTTGCTGCTGCGGAGGAGGCAGTCGAGCAGCTCTGCTGCCGCCCCACATTGGAGGGAAGGGGGGCCTCTGTGTGTCTTTCGGCGCCCCCCTCTATAGTTAATCTTGTTGAGGTATCAGGAGACTTGCTGCTGCTGCTGCTGCTGCTGCGAGCAGCAGCAGCAGCAGCTTGCCGCAACAGCAGCAGCAGCTCAAACCAGTAGCAGCACCTCGCTGCAGCAAGAGCAACGGCACGAGGTAGTCGGCAGCGGCAGCAGCAGTGACAAGGAGGGCTGCAACAGCAACAGCAACAGCAGCAGCAGCAGCAGCTCAAGCAGCAGCAGCAGCAGCAGCTCAAGCAGCAGCAGCAACAACAACAAGCTGCTGTAAAGCAGCAGCAAGCTAGGATTGTCCCCAAGGCACAGTTATACAGAACGAGACCGCTTGAGGTGTACAGACACTGCAGCAGAAACCGGCGGAGTTGCTGCTGCCTCTGCTGCAGATAAACAAAAATACAAAAATGCTTCTCCTAATCTCCTCTCTGCACACAACGAGGCCCCTGGAAGACCCTAAGGGGGCCCCGTTGGCGGCAGCGGGGGCCCACGCCAGCAGCAGCAGCAGCAGCAGCAGCAGCAGAGCAGCAGCAGCAGCAGCAGCAGCGGCAGCAAATGAAGCCACAACTTCTATCTCAACAGTTTTAATGTTAGGTAAATGTTTGTTAATTTATTTAAAATAATTTTAACGGGTTTTGCTGCTGCTCTTCGTCGGCAGCTGCACGCGAGACAGAGAACCAGTGGGGACGAGCAGCAGCAGCAGCAGCAGCAGCAGCAAGAGCAGCATTTGTGCTGCGGCTGCTGCTGCTGCTGAAGCAAGTGGCTGTGATATTAGAAGACAAAAGTGAAGAGCCTCCGCTAAAGAGAGACAGCAAAAGAAACGCGAAGAGACATCAGCCTAATAACCATAGACACAAAAGGAGACAGATAAAAGAGAAGGAGACAGACAGTAGAGAAGAGAGACAGACAGAGACAAGAGAAGGAGACAGACAGTAGAAAAAGAAACAAAAGATGAAGGAGACAGACATAAAAGGAGACAGGCAAAAGAGAAGGAGACAGACAAAAGAGAAGGAGACAGACAGTAGAAAAGAGAGAGAGAGACAGAGACAGAGACAGACAGAGAGAGAGAGAGAGAGAGAGAGAGAGGAGACAGACAGCAGAAGAGAGAGACATAAAAGGAGACAGACAAAAGAGGAGGAGACAGACAGTAGCAGAGAGAGAGAGAGAGAGAGAGAGAGAGAGAGAGAGAGAGAGAGAGAGAGAGAGAGAG